TGTGGGCCATGACCCCAGCCAGGCCCACGCTCTCCTCTCCCAGTGCTTCTGGGCAGAGGCCGGGCATAAACCCCACAGATGTGCGCATGCCCCTCACACTCTCTTCCTTGTATTTACAGAGTCAAGACAGACATTCCTCCATTTGCTAACGATCGCCCACTCCTACTCCTGCAGGAGAGGAAAATCAAGTCTGCTTCGTAAGTAAACAGTCACACTCACCTGGTCTGTCCTGGGAAATTGTTCTGAAATTGTTCTTTCTTCATATACTAAATAGAATGACCAAGAATCCTGTTTGGGGGTGAAGAAGACGTCCACATTCACTCCCTTTTTTCCTTTCTGGCTTTCATCCACTCGTTTAGCTCACTAGGATTGACTTTACCTAGGAACTGAGACCATATACGTAAATAAAGCTTGTAAGTAAATACTTACATAAATACATACATACAGAACAATTCTTACAGGTTTCAGCTGTCTTATGCTTATACTTTGGGAAGAGAGACAAATATAGTTAGCTAATTAGTTAAAATGCCAGGTACTTGGCAAATGCTACATAGATAATTAAACAGGACAGTGCAATGAGGAGCAGGTTGGCACTAAGCAGGACCCGCAGGAGAACCCCGCCAGGCAGAGGGAGGACAGCGCATTGGCCAGGGAGCCCCGCCTGGAGGAGCGCCCCGACCAGCAGCACAGGTGACCCAGGCCCGGTGTCTCCTGGCCCACACCTTGAACAGGAGGTGTCCCAGGTGGGCTCACTCCTCCCTCAGATCAAACAGCAATTCTGCCAACAATACCAGGCAAGGCTGGCAGTGCTGGCAAGGGACTGACTGGGTGCTCAGTGACACTAAGTGGCCAGGGCATCACACCGCCTTCTCCCGCCTGGAGGAACGGAGCGACAGGAGACTGCAGTAGGAGGGGAACGCAGCGCGACACGCACCTGGCCCAGGAAGCACCCAGGCCCGTCCCACGTAAGAATGCCAGGTGGCTTGGCCTTAGGAAGCTCCTTGTGTCCCTCAGGTGGCACCAGCAGGGACCAGTGGGTGCCCCAGCAGCACCAGACAGAACAAGCAGACCCCAAGTAGTTGCATGAAGGCTCCAGTAGGACTCAAGTGCCCCTGACGCCTGAACCCCTTTCCTGGGCCTGTCTTGGTCAACTGCTTCCGAGTGCTGCCTCTCCAATGCCGCTGGTACTTAGATCCGGGCGCTCTGCAGAGTCTACAAGAGCTGCTGCCGCCCACGGTCCTGGCACCTTGCCGCGGAAGGAAGAAACCTGACCAACGAGACAGACGCCTTTAAGTCTTTCTCTAAGTGTCAGCGCCCGGGCAGTCGCATCCATTGGCTGTGCTGCAATTAGGTGCCCACTCTAGCTGCCGCAGGTAGGCGGAGGGAATGGGTATCTGCCCTCTTGCCTTCAGAATGGGTGGTGAGGCCCTGCTCTCCACCCTTGTTGGGATCAAGCAGCCGTCACAACTAACACACACTTCAGATGCCCTGGGAGGCGCCGTGCACCTCTCGGACACCGGCGCCTTCGCCTTTCCTCGGGAAAGTCTAGTCCCCCCGAGCCAGCGTGGACCCCCTAAGCAGAGCAGAATCCTTTGACCACCCCCGGAAAAACTGGATTTAATGGTATGCGAAGGAGAAGAGGGTCCATCACACCCTCTCCCAACACACCCCTGCCCTTTCGCTTTTTTTCCTGCTTCCTCTAGAATAAGGCATAGGTTCTGCAAGAGATTTTTGTAAGGTGTCAGCCAACTTTAAGCCTTTAAAAATTCTATTTGTAAACCTTGAAGACATTATTCGAAGTGAAACAAGCCAGATGCAAGAAGACAAATACTGCCTGATTCCACTTATATGAAGTCCCCAGAATAACCAAATTCATGGAGAAAGGAGAGTGGGGGCTGCCAGGGGCTGGGGGAGGTAAAAGGGGGAGTTACTGCTTAATGGGAACAGAGTTTCAGTTGGGGAAGATGAAAAGCGTTCTAGATTCACACAGTGGTGACGGCTGCACAACAGTAAGAATGTACTTAATGTCACTGAACAGTATACTTAAAAATGGTTAAAATGGCAAATTTTTTGTTATGTATATTACCACAATAAAAAAAACTTGCAGGCCAGGCACGGTGGGTCACGCCTATAATCCCAGCACTCTGGGATGCCCAGGTAGGAGGATCGCTTGAGCTCAGGACTTTGAGACCATCCTGAGCAAGAGCGAGACCCTGTCTCTACAAAAAACATAAAAAATCAGCCAGGTGTGCTGGCGTGTGCCTGTAGTCCCAGCTACTTGGAAGGCTGAGGTAGGAGGATCGTTTGAGCCCAGGAGTTGGAGGTTGCAGTGAGCTATGATGATGCCACTGCACTCTAGCCAAGGTGACAGAGTAAGACTCTGTCTCCAAAATATATATATAGATATATATATATATATATTGCAAAAACATCTTTCTGTAACATACAAAACTAATTCTAACACCTAACTGATTGGAAAGGAGACATGCGAAGGAGCTGAACTGTTCCTGAACTTGCGGGTTAGAACAGCCTGCTGTGTCTCGGGCGAGAGGGCTGAGACCCAGAAGGAGCGACCACAGAGGACCCGGCATGGGCCTTCCTTCCTCCACTGGCCTTTAGCGTTAGCGAGGGTCTAAGTGTGTGGGGTGGAGGAGTCTGTGTGTGTCTGTGCTGTGCACGTATCTCTGCTGGTGGATCCTGCTGGTTTGCGTTACCTAGGGCAGGCTGAGGAGAGGAAGGAGACTTCTGGAACAGGTAACTATAAACTAATTGAATATATTAATATGTCTAAATAATCAATGTGTTAATCCCCAAAGGAGTTCATGGTCCACAAAGGCTTAGAATAAGCCGCCCAGGCACTGGCCACATGCTGGCAGGCTCACCCAGGGACGTCAGGTCCTACTCAGAGCCACGTGCTGTTCGTCTTGCTGGGCAGGCATGTGGAAGGCGGCGGTTGGTAGGCATAGGTGCTGTGGGGACACCGGCAGGACCATGTCTCCGTGATACATCAAGCACACGCACACCCTTCCCTTGGGCGCGTGCCTCCAGGCAGCCCCGTGACGGCAGTTAGTGTCCCAGAGAGACCTGCACGCAGGAAAACGGGCTGGTCTTAAACGAGACCCAACTACCCTGGCTCTGTGATCATTTCACTGTGCATTAAATAAACTAGAATTCTGTTTTCATCACCACTTTATGAACTTGGCTACTATGTATCGGTCCCTGAACTTAATTGCTGTAAGTCTTCACTGAAATCCAGTTTCTGAACCTGTGAAGCGAAGGGCAAGAGTCTGAATTGTGAAAATTTCACCAAGCTTATAAGTGTGACCCTGGGAGGCTTCCTAGTCCAACCCGCTGGCCCTAACCTAGGCAGAGGCAGGCCCCGGACCCAGCACCTGAGCCTGCAAGGAGCTGGCACTCAGCAGGTGACCTGTCAAAGGAACAGGAGCAGGGCTCCAAGGAAGACACCTAGCGTGGGTTTCCTCTGCCTCCCCTGGATAATTCTGGGGACATGAGCGACGCGCCCTGGATTTCCACAGCCCCCGCCCCCCACTGGCCTCTCTCAGACCATCCTGGTGGAACCTGCCAGCATTCGTGGTCCAGCCCGGCCCCCCTCCCCACCCACACCCTTTCTTCCCAGTTTTTTTGCTAAAGCTCATTGTCATCCTGTATGTGGCTCTCTTTGTATTCACTTGCACATAGAGGTAATGCCACAAATAAAACACTAAACAGTAGAGTTTCAGAGAGAAAAATAGCATCCAGAATATTCCACACCATGTAAATCTTCTGGAAAAGTGGAAGAGACAATCGTGGAAGTGTTATTATTAATATTGAATTTAGACCACATTTTAAAATGTCAAGTTTGTATGTGATTGTGAGATGTATATAAACTGAGGAATTATTATAATTCTATCATAATTTACTGCTTTACCAAAATAAACTGGTAAGATAAATATTGCTAGCTTATGCCCAGTTGACTAATATGACCCAAATAGAAATAAAATATTGGATGAGCTTGAGATGCCAAGATTAAACTAGATTAGTGACAGAATCTCAATGTTCTGTTTCGATGTAATTAAAGTGATGATTTAATGTGTTTTTGGCTCAGAATCATTGTAAGAGGTTGTTTTGTAATAACATAGAAATGAATACACACTTGTCCAAGCGGCAGAGGAATAAAAGGTTGTAATATTTTTGAGTTCTCCTGGCAGGGTAATCCATTCTCATCAATCTCACCCTCTGCAGGAGAACGTAAGGATGTTTTTCTTCCAATCATTCACAGTCATTATTTAATGTAGAGTAACAGCCACAGTCTTCATTAATATATTAACCTGTGGCTCAAAAAGGCCTCGCAGTAAACCAGCGGACAACTCCTCATGGCAGGTTTATATCACAGGGCTTGGAGACATTAACCATCTGGAATACTGACCTCTGGGACAAGCCTAATGTTAATACCCAATATAAGAAGTCGAGCCAGCAGAGAAAGAGGAATTCAAGCACCCCAGCTCATGGAGGCCACTTATTGCTATTCAGGAGGAAATGGTTAAAAATACATATGATATGACCATAAAATGGAATCTTTCACAACTTCAGAAAGAATTAGGTGGATCTATATGTTGCAAAATGGAACAAGCGCTAATATATAGAAAAAAATGGAGAGTCTAAGTAATTAGTGTTTATTTGCTCAGCATTCTGGCATTAAGGGGTCCCTAGAGAAACAGCTGACTCCTGGCCTGATCATCCAAAGCAAAACCCACCCGAAGCTCAGACTAAACACAGAGCACAGCTTCTTAATGTCCCCAGCTTTGAGTCATAGACTCTCGTAAAAGTGTAACTAGCTTGTAAAGCATGCGTCTGTGGATTCTGTTTCTTTGTTTCCAAATAACTCGCAGTGCAAGGCATTTCACATTATAAGCCCAGAAAAAATATTTGTTGGCAATGAAACCAGTTCTAAGCGGTCGCTGAGTTCATTCCCATGCATCAGAGCAGATGCCACCTTAGACATGGGGCAGTCACCTGAGCGGGCTGTGGGGGACGTGGCCACCGACTCACAGGCGCTCTATATTCTCGTTAAAGCACCAGTGGGTAAGAGCATTCCACAGTCCGCCCTCGGTGCTTCTGCAAACCTCACGCTCAGGAATAGCTCTCTAGGGCCAGCCACATCCCTATCATTTGAGGCTACTCTTGCTGCTGTTTACGCAGTAAACATGCAGACCCGTGAGCACTGGCGTCGAGCAGCACGTAACTGAAGTGTTCCACACAATGAGAACCCAGCATAGTTTCCGCTTTCGTGGGTGACGGGGCAGCTGCACACCCCCACCCAGTTACGCTTTCATCAGAGCCGGTCCGCACCCATCCGGGGGTGCAGGGCAGTGTGGCTGTCAGGGACGGGCGACGGGGGCCTGGGAACAGTGCGGAGCCACAGCTGGACACTTCACCACTGACAGCTCTGCTCCAGGAACACGGGCAAAGGGCCGGCGTCCCACCTGCTCGGTGGCACAGTGACGACGCCCACTGCATGGGTTGTTGAGAGGAGTAAATGCGAAAGTCATTGAGAACACTCACCCCTGCCTGGCACACAGGGAATGCTCAGTAAATAATAGCTGTCACTGTTCCTGTTGCTATTTCGAAGAGAAGAAAGAAATTCTGCAAAGCTGAGCAGTCTGAGGATGGTTTCCGGCCACTCCTCCTCAGCCACTGGTTCCTCCTCATCCCGTGACCTCCTAGCACCCAGCGCCTCAGGGCTCACCCCAGGCGGGTTTTCCACCTGCACTCCCTCTCAGGGACAGCCATCCCATCCCCAGTCTGGGTTTAAATGTCACCCACCAGCTGATGACTTCTCCTGCCCAAACCACTCCCCCAAAACCCAAACTTTATCCCACTGTTCATTTGACATCTCAACTCGAATGTTTGATTAACACCTGGGGGCCTTCAACAGGACTGTCCCCAGGAGACCCAAGGACTCAAATTCCAATTCCTAGAGCAGGAACCGGCAGGGGTGGGGCCGTCTTCCTACCCTTCACCCAGCGGGAAGGGCTGCACTCCAGCCCAACTTCCCGTCGGACCTGTGGCTCTTTTCTCCATGCCAAGGCTGTACCAGGCAAGGTGCTCTCTTGGCGTTCATCATCGGTCATCGATGGGGCTGGGTAGGTGGTCTTCCCAGACAGCCCCTGCAAACTGCGGGCCCAAGTCCTGATGGCGTGGGGCCAAACTGGCCTGACTGCTTTCTCCCTGAGGGACCCGCCTCTCATCTGCTAGGTGACATTGTGATAAAGGTGAAAGGTGGATTAAAAGCTCTGGATCTATATAGAGGTCGTAAAATCTCACCCATAGACAGCTCCTGTCAAGGGATTCATATGCCAGACATAGACCAGCAAACGCTGTGAGGAGTCCTCCAATACAGTGCTCCCCGCCAACTGCTCTGTAAAGCACCAGTGAAAAGTATCGCTAGTTGAAAAGTATTTTCATAATTTCAGTATTAAATACACAATTTACTCAAATAGAATAAACTTTTAGGATAATTACCTGAGAAATGATGTATTAGACTTGCCTTGTTTTCCAGGATAAAATCCTTATAATAACTACTGCTGTGTAACCAACCCCAGTTAGGTAGATGCTGGAGACTTTTACTACTGAGTGGTCAGGGTTAAAATGTCATAGCTAGTAATGCTACACGGTTTGTAATCAGAGAAATGTCTTCATCATGGCACAATCCAGCTATTTCCAGCTCACCAGAAAGAAGACAAAATAAGCCCATGTGTCTTGGTAGATGCTCATTCTTTGAATACCCATAAAAATTGCACTCTGCAAGACAGAGCAGCATGCGTGTTCCGTGGTCCTCAGACGGGCAGCAGACAGCTGGATCAGGAGTCGTGCTAGGACTGTCCCCAAGGTGAGGGAACTTTCAGATCCACACTCAATCTCTCCACCAGGAAGGATCACTTTCCTGGTGACAGAAAGATTAATCATGCATTTCACAAAGGAGATACGAAGTTCAGTAATGTGAGACCTTGATTTACAATGGTCTTCTGATTTATGCTGTGTATTTTTAAACCATATTATTTAAAACAGTTAATTTCAAAGGCACTGTTTGTTGCTAAAGACCTACTCTATGCCAACAAGAAAAATACTGTATTCTGTCTACATCTTCCCAGTCCCCATGACAGGTCCAACCTCTAACAAAACTGTTTGTCGGATGATAAATATTGCTTTTCTTCTAGTTATTATTTCTTTGTCTTGTTTGTTTCTGATGCAGTTTAAATGTCACAGAAGCCCGCATAAGAACAATACTTGCCTGGGTGCTGTGGTTCATGCATGTAATCTCGGCACTTTGGGAGGCTGAGGTGGGAGGACTGCTTGAGGCCAGAAGTTCAAAACCAGCCTGGGCAACATAGCCAGACCTAGCTACTTGGGAGGCTGAGGCAGGAGGACCATTTGAACCTAGGAGTTTGAGTTCAAGCTTACAGCGAGCTGTGATGATGCCACTGCACTCCAGTCTGGGCAACAGAGTGAGACTCTGTCTCAAAAAAAAAAAAAGAACCAAAAAAACAAAAAGAACAATACTTAATAGTAACAGCTTTTGCTGGGTGAATATATATTTTTTTTAACTTTTTCTTTTTTTAAGAGACAGGGTCTTGCTTTGTTGCCCCAGCTGGAGAGCAGCAGTACAGTCATGGCTCACTGCAGCCTCAAGCTCCTGGCCCCAAGGCATCTCCTGCCTCAGTCACTGGACTTGCAGGCGGAGCCATCACACCTGGCTTAAAGGATAAGTATTTTTGAAGAGGCCCTTTCCCATCTGGCACAACTGACACCCTTTGGGAAGCCTTTACCTTTCAGGAAGCACTTGTGAGCGGCTCGGTCAAGCCCTAGGGTGCAGAAAGGCGGGCATACAGCCAGCACCCTCCCTTCATGGGTGAGGAAACTGACTTGTCCCAAACCGCACAATGGAGTGAGGTGGGGACTCCTGTGCAGGCTTTCGTCACCTGTGTTCTTGGTTAGGCAGGTATTTACGGAGCCCACTATTCTACTTCTATGCCACACCCGCGGCTGCCTCCTGGGATTTGGGGGGCATTTGGACTTTTTAAAAAAGCTTAGAACAGTGCCTGGCTCATAGTAAACACACGATAAATGTTCTTCCTTATTGTGATTGACACAGAATGATTAATTCTATCCAAGTTCACTATATGCTAAATACGGTTAGTACAAGACAAAATACAAGACCATACAACACTAAATACGGTAGTATAAGCAAATAATATTTTAAAGGACCTGTTAAACTTTTCTGAAGAATTTACAATGTTGCACTGTAAATAATTAAAATAATCAGAATATGCACAAAATTTCGCATATGAACCTGGACATCCAAATAACTAGACCAGGGATTCCCAACTTTGGGAATTTTTGTAAAAAGTTAAAATATCTCCAGTTTAATCAACCAACAAAGACGTGTTTTCTGAAGGCCTTTATGTCAGGCCCTCAGGATACAGTTGTGAGCGTGGCGGGAGTGACACTAGGCAAGGAGAGGCTCAGGGCAGTTCCAGAAGAGAGGCCGGTGCATGGGGTTGCGGCGAGAGCGCGTGCTGAGCGTGCGGGCGGGCGGGAGCCTGCCAGCAGCCGGGTCAGCACTAAGTGGGCGGTGTCTTGGGGGACAAGCAGCAGATGCAGCGATGGGTGTCCAGGGGTCTGAGGGGACAAGGGAGCCACATGACACAGGTAACAGTGCCATCTGCCACCGTCCCTGCCCCTCGTTCTGGGGAATTCCTCTCTCTGCTTTCCAATCACAATTTCCGCTTCCCGACCCCACAAGCCAGGGACCCTCCCCGAGTTGCCATCTTCACAACCGACCTTCCCTCCTGGGCACAGGCAGGGCTTCAGGAAAACAGAGAGAATGGTGTCGAAGTCAAAATAAAAATGTAGAGACAAATCTCTAAATGTAATGTTGTATTTGGGAAGAAAGAATTGCAATTTGGGGCATACATGCAGACCAAGTGGTCTTTGGTATGTCCGAAAAACAAAGAGAAGGTTGAAGGTTTTAGCAAAAGGAAAACATTACGTATTGCTCTTTGAGAAAGTTCCTTGGCGCTAGTAAGGCTCTGGGGGCTGGCAGGTTCCCACTGGTGGGCGACAGCAGTGGGGAAACCAGCGCTAAGTTGCAGCAAGTTGTCTCAGCAGCTGCAGCTGCCACTGGTCTCGGGTCACAGCAGGCAGTTCCAGCAGCCTGACTCAGAGAGCCGCGAGGCCGGAGCAGCGTGTGCGTCCTGCATGCTTCCCCCGGCTTCCAGACTCTGACGTAGTCAAGTGCGACAAGAATGACCCAATTCCTGTGATCAACGTTCACAACAGAATACGATTCCTCCACCCTCCTTTTTTCCCAAAACCGTGTGTGTGTAAGAAAGAATCTTACACTGAGGAAGGAGGAAATCAAGTTTGCATTTAGA